CTCAAAAAACAAACAAACAAACAAAACAAAAAAACGTTCGGACTGAACATTGGGACCTGTACTTTTCCAATTCTTAATAGGCGCCTTTATCGAGTGGAATATTAATGTTATATGTTTTCAGATTTTATACCTAAATTGACAATTGTATCTGTTTCCCTGCTGCTTACATATTCCGCGCTCATAGTTCACAGTGAGCATACGTCATCTCTCTCTTAATATAATTCTATCTCTATCTCATCTATCCACTCTCTCTCTCTCTATAACTTTATATATATATATATATATATATATATAAAGTTATATAGAGAGAGAATATGTGTGTGTGTGTGTGTGTGTGTGTGTGTGTGTGTGTGTGTGTGTGTGTGTGTGTGTGTGTGTGTGTGTGTGTGTGTATGTGTGTGTGTGTGTAATACATATGTATATATATCCTATTATGTATATATGCACTCACACACGCGCGCACGAACATATGTGTGTGTTGCTACTCTTTTCCTCCAATTTTTCAAACGACGATACCAACACCATTTGCGAGTCAGCCTTCAATTTATGCTCACTTTTAGGATTAAAGAAAGAGATAAAAGGAGCATACCGAGAGAAGTCAGAGCGTTGACGTCGTGGGCAGTGAATAATAGATAATAACGAGGCAACGAAGGAATAGGGATGGCCTTTTTTGTTTGTTTTTTGTGATCGTGGCCTTGCCTCGCTCGTGTGTATTTATAGCCCGTGCGTGTTCATGTACTAATTGTGTATCAGGTCCTGCACAAACGTGAAAAAAACACAACACTGAGATACCCAAACACACGCACTCATACACATAAATCTATATGGTCTTCCAGCTTGGCATCACTAAAGGCAGAGCCACAGTCCCGTAGAATGTGATTTTAAGCCTTCAGACAAGCAACACACCATGAATAGTCGTATACATTTTAGATAAATCAAGTTTACAGGGTCAATGTCCCATTTTCTTAAGTTATACATGTAATACATTTTCTATAAGAATATGTGAGTGTAATGTTGTTGAATGTTATTACATTATTAGCTTAATAATGTATTTTGTGTAAATTGGTTTATGCAGTGCAGTGAACAAGAAAGTAATGCAGGGAATCTTTTATACTCATTAGACTCTGACCCTACGCACTGTAACTGTAATTAAATATCCATCCGTTTATGATAGTCTTGCACAGTCTTACATAGCAATGCCCAAAATACAACAATTACATCTCAAAACCATAATAAAATCATCCAATCATAAACCATAAACCCAAAATACATTCACAATTTTACCCTCACCAACCATGGCCTAACACATACACCCACTTTTATATTTAGAATAAGTCTACTCTCACGCTACTAACACCTACACATCTACCACTACCTAGCCACTCAGCCATGAGCAACCCACCCATAAGATTCCATCACTATCCGTCTTTGGCTTTTCGTAGAATTCATGTTTTCAAAACGACTCCTCCCAGCAGCCAACTGATTGACCAATAAACACACGCAACCAAAACCACCAAAACCATTTCACCAACCAACCAACTGACGAATAAAAACAACCAAACGACCGAAAAAAGCCTCTCAGTAGTTAACATGACCAGTCACACAAAATTCTCCTAAAACTAAAACAAACTAAGACTAAAACAAACGGAAAATTGAAGCTGACTCCTTGATTGGCTTTTTGGCAGCGTCGCGTCCGATGGCGTCTGTTCTTGGCTTCAGTCCTCCTGGTGGCTCGAGCGGCGGCGGATACTGCTTATTCGTACATCAAACTAGAAGGCGTCATTCCTCAGGGTACTGTCGTCGCTACGAAAGTGGTGAGGAATTATAATAATTGATAATAATGATGATAATAATGATAATAATGATAATGATGATAATGATAATTGTTATTATTATTATTATTATTATTAGTATTGTTGAGAATATTACAATAGATATCATTATTATGAAAATTGTTACTATTATCATTGTTGTTAATATCATTATTATCATCATCATTGATATTGTTATTATATATATTTTTTAATGAAATCTTTATCATTATTACTATTATTTTTATTATTATTATTGTTATAATAAATAATGATGATAATGATAATGATAATGGCAAATGTAATAACTATATTACTATCATCATTATTATCATTATCACTACCATTGTTGTCATTATTATCATCATTACTCTTACTAATATTATTATGATTATTATTATTATCATATCATTATTACCACCATTGTTATCATTATGAATATCATTATCATTACTATCATTATTGTCGGTCTCATTATTATTGTTACCAATATCATTAGTATTATCATTATTATTATTATTATGTTATTATTGTTATCATTATTATTATTATTGTCATTATTATCATTATTTTTATTATTATCATTAATGATGATAATATTATCACTATTAGTGTTGTTATTATTATCGTTATCACTATTGTAATCATGTTTATTATCATTGTTGTCATGATCAATTATATTGTTATTG